TCTCTGTGGTTGTTCTACGACAGGGGACGCATGTACCTCATTTACAAGTCGTTTTGTACTCTTCGAAAACGATCTATGACTCGGAGCACTAGACGACATAGACGAACGCGCAAGTGACGCAAAACGATCAAAAGATCTTTTCATGCCCTTACTGCTAATTGCTGCGGCAACAGCAGATTTCTTCCCAAGTATTGCGGGCACAACACCTGGACACCCCTATTTGGGCTCCGACAAGTCTTCCTTCTGCTTTCGCCGACGATCTTTGCGGGACCGCTTCGACGTGGGACGACCCTGACGATCTTCTTCCTCCGCGACCCGCACCCAGCAGCGCTCGATCGGGTGGGTCTTGTGTGACCGACAGGTGGGGTGGGTACACGGAGTGAAGGGCGGACGACGCTGACCCCCACCACTACCCAAACCTCGGACACGAGCCGCGGGCGTTCCACGGTGCTGCGTCGGTGGACGCGAGGAAGGTGACTTCTTGAAAGTCACCGTCTGCTTAAGACGCGCCTGAAACGCACAGCCGCGGGACGAGTGGTGGCAGACGATACGGAGTGAGTTGCCGACGCGCTCGATCAATGGCCTCCTTCAGCGAGACTCACTACCATCACGCTCGACGGCAGCTTGGAACCGTGCCATGACAGTACGGAAACGAAGAGGATTGTACGAGAAAACAGATTCCTGTGGCCGTTGCAACGAACGTTGCAAAATTGTGTACTTCTTCCTCAACGGAATTTTGCGGGAAGAAGTGAATCAAGCAAAACAGAACACATGGCATCCCACGTGGTCGGAGAGAGAAAGGACCTTTTTTCTTCGGTTCTGTAAACGTGCTTGCCTTCGAACAGTCGATTTGTCCAGACAAAATCTGCTGTATCAGGGTCAACACCTCTCCTGTTCCCACAAGGGCAACATGCTTGGGAGCAACCCCAACAGCATACGACGAATCCGGGTTGACAGCTGCGGCTTTCAGCCCAACCACCGCACGAAAATGTTTCAAGATTTCTCGGTACGGTCCCGGTCAGCTCGGGAACGCTGCGGAGAGCAGCCGCGGATATCGAAACATTAGCCGCTTGTAGGAACGTACGGACGGGGGATTCAGTTGCTGCAGCAGTAGATGCCACCTGCGATGTTGAAGTAACAGGTGACGCTTCGATGGACGATTGCGCACTAGCAGGTGCAACTTGGGATGTTACAATATCTGCGGTTCCAGTACTAGACGTAGATGTACACGACACCGAAGTAGTCGCGTTTTCGGGCGCAGTGGGCGACGGACTCGGCGAGGGATTCGATCCACTCGTTGCCTGCGCGGACGGAACGAACGATGGTGCTCCAGGGGACATGATTGTCTGCCTGGGCAACGACGGAGCAAAAAAAGGAATGCTTGGACTTACCGATGGATTTGCAGTTGCAACCGTGCCACGAGACGAGGCTCCACGGTACGACGTAGTTGACGCTGTTGCGACAGGCGATGAGGCAGCCACCGACTCTTTCAGGAGACGCTGCTGCCACGCGATGGTCGCTGGTGAGAGCTCAGGCGGGGTCCGCCTCTGCCGCAACGCACAGAGGTAGCACTTTATCTCCTCCTTGCAAGTTGCCTCCAGCAATTGCAAAGACGACAACCGGTCCACGCCATCATCATCGTCCGATGGCTGATGTGACCGATGCCCCTCGTCTTCCGAAGACGGGGACGACGACGACGACGGAGACGGCGACGGCGGGCCGGCGGGCGGCTGTTGTCCGTTGTCTTCCGGCTCGAAGTCGACGCGCTGCTCCTCGTCCACCCCTTCTTCCTCATAGTGGACCTCTTTCGTTTCTTCTTCTCCTTGTTCTTGTTCCCCATGATGACCACTACCGCAAGGTAGTGCCACCAACGCACAAGTAACTCGACAAACACACGGAACGCCGCTGACGCCACTATGAGACGGCTGTCTCCAGTCCCACGAGTGAGCAAGTTCCCTTTGGGATCTGTGGTGTGGATACACACCGGTTCAACCTCTGGTTAGCCGACGAGTACGGATAGCTGTGTTGAGTGTCAGCTGGGGAGCAACCTTGTGTTGAAGCAAGGTTCAACATCCAACCTACACTGACTCCAACACCCCGAAGGTAGATCTCCGACAGGTCACCTGACGTCACAATCTACGACAGTCTGAGGTGGCATTCACACAAGTAGTAGTTAAAAAACATTCGAAGAAAAATCAAGCAAGCAAAACAACCTCATGTATGTAGTACGCATAGTTGAGTTGCAGCAGTAGTCTACAGGCAGCGGCTTATCATGTTCAAGGTATAGGCATAAGCAGACTCAAAGTATGCCCAGTTTCCAGCAGAGTTCGCTCCACTTCCTGAAAATACTTCAGCATACCCCTTTCGACTGTGGTTGTGTTTCGAACAGGTAGTCTTTTCTGTGGTTTATGGAGATATTCTAATAACGGCGAAGGTAGCATTACTGCTGTACTATATCGCGTTCATGTGTAGAACACGCCTTCGGCTTGCGGCTTTTGTTGTCAGCGGGGCGCAAGCTGTTGTGTCCTCCACGACTTAGCCCGGTCGTCGTTGGGCGGTGTATGGTCCGCTGCGTGCTTCGTCATTTGTCATCCGGCCGCGGTGCTGCTCGTTGGTCATCCGGCCACGGTGACCCACGCGTCGTTGGCGTAGGCTTCGTGACAAACCTTTCGTCCATTGAGCCGTTCCCTCCGTTTCCTTCGCCCGCCCCGCCCGCGGCGTTTTGCCCGCCAGACACTTAAGGTAGCTCGTTCTCCACAAGCCAGTGTTTGTCCTATTGCCGTCCGGTGGATAGCCACGCGTCGTGTCCGTATTCTACGCGATGCCACCACCTCGTTCAGCCGCTAGCTTGGCCTCCTTGGCCTGACCCCCTACGACTTTTCTGCCATTCAGCCACTGCTGTAGCGTTAATTCGTTTTCCGTACCCTTGGCTTTGCCCTATTGCAGACCAGCTTGTTGTGTCTGTGCAACCGTAACGTTTTCTCCACGTCCCGCCTGGATACATTGGCAGCATCGTTTCGACGCTTGCTCATACGAATTGTATCGGGGGGATGGCACCAGCCCTCAGCCCCCCCTGCACTAAGTGATAATCAGCAGAAGCATACCTTTCGGGGTCCGAATCTTGTCCCTGGGAGTTTCCGTGGCGCACAGCTTGAAGGGTCCCTTGAATTTTTCAGGCACTCCTCCAAACTCCAAAAATGTGCCCAATGATTGTACTGCTGTTGTATGAACGCATACATGTTTTTTTTTGCTGATACGCGTACAATTGTAGTTTCAGAAAGCACAAGGAGAGTCGATAAGATCGGATGGCCGTCTCCACCCCGCGAAGAAGAATAGGGTGACGTTCCTCTTGATAGGTTGCCTTTTGTGCGCGGTGGTTGGTGCATTTTGGGACTCGGTGTCTCCATTATTCGTGCTTACCCTCTGACCTTTATGCATGCGTACGACAATACCCCCTCTCTGGAATAGCGTAGCCCGCATCCCAAAATCCCATCATAAGGTGTTCCAAGGTACTTTAAAAAGTGTGCCGGCAAGCGCGGTCGCCCCGGGTATATTGTTAGCGGGCACCGTAAATCTACTAGCAGCAGATGATCGGGTTCGAAAGTCTATCGGGAGGGGGGCACCTGCAGTTTACCGTGGAAAGCGATACGCATTTGAGTACATGTAGTAATTTATGAGTTAAGGAACCGAATGCAAGCACCGCAGGAGAACGGCGGAAAAAAAGGAAACGTCTCGAAGTTATTCATTAGTTCCTCCTGTGTTGACTCCGGCTGATTTTCCAAGCAATAACATGTGTTAAGATCGGCGCCCGACAGAATCAAAAGGACGAATACACACTGTTCACACGATGTTGAACGCCAACATACATGTATCGCGACATATGCATACATCCAGCAGCCGTACAGCGCGCTTTTATACGGGAACTTGGGAATTAAGTAATTGATGCTCAAAAAGAGGCTCTTCATATATTATCTCCCAGGTTCCTACATAAGAATCCTACGATAACGTCTAACACAGCCGATATCGGTTTTCCCAGCTGAGAAAATAAGAAACGAGCCTAGGTGCAACAACTAAGAAATTATTGCGGTCGTGAGGCGTGCTGTTAAGGAGTCACATGCGCGGACGTCACGTGTTGTACTACAATGTTGTTGCTGAACGCGACGGAATCTGTCGCGTACAGTAGTGCTTCGAGGGGGAACCCCTGCGTGAATCTTGTGCTCGCCGGGTGCAAGCGCGCGCGCAGGATACTGCGTGGTGAGCAGCAGGTTGTCGTCGCATAGTCTCAAAGATTGCTTCGCGTCGTGGCACAAGTCTCGGGGACTCTGGGTCTACCGCTGCCACGCCACAGCGGCCTCGCGCGCACTCTCGACCACCATTCCAAGAGAGAGGAGGAAATCCAACCAACCCACCACGTGCTCATGGGGAGTTTTTCCATAGTGATCCGTACGTCGGCTACACGCTTTATGCTTGATCGATCCTGTCGAGCTGAGAATACTGTAAACGTGAGGTCGCTGGTTCGCGTGCGATCGTGCTTTGCCCCCCGTCCGCACGGCATGCGCAGGATGTCCACCGATTGTGAAGGCACATAATGTAGCTTTTTTTTCAGCATGACCAAAAGTTCGATGTAGACTAGAGTGCCCGGTGTATATTGTTGTTCTATCGGGCACTTGTTGCCTTCAAGACTACATAGAAACCTTGCCGAGTCACGCCACGAGATGGAGCTCAAGGCTACCACCGAGCTCTTGCGGAAGAAACAGCAGGCTTTTGCTGGTGCGGTAGCATGACCGTGCTCGGCACACAAACGACCGGTCGACTCATGAGCATTTCAAGTTGTTCACACGCAGTTTTGAGTCTTCGTTCGATTTTGATTGGGCTCGTGGGGCGGGCGCGAGCTGTTCTCGCTGTGTGCAGCCACGTTAGCGTCACAGTCTTTCGCCCTTTGCCGTGTTTTTGCTTGTCGCGTGTGCCTCCTCCTTCTCCTCCTCCTGCGCTGCCGGCAGGTCCCGTTTACGTTGGCTCCTCGCGACTACGGCGCGTTGGCTGCGCTGTATCATTTGACCCAAGGGGATGGATGGATACATCGAGACGGCTGGTGCACCCCCGTTGACCTCCAGGAATGGTTTGGGGTCGACGTCAATGAACAAGGTCGCGTGGTGAAGCTAGATCTCCGCGGAAACAACCTTCAAGGTACGCTTTAGCCTCGCGGATCGCTCATTTCCGCTGGACGTACCCTCTGAAATGGCCCTTTTTGAGACTACGCACCTAGGTTGCCTATTTATCGTACTTTTGCTGGGTTTACACGCATCACAATCGCGAACTGCTTTTGGTTGGTTTGTCAAACAACGTTTTTCAGCACGGTTGCAGCTCCTGCACAACGTGCGCACGATGCCGCTTCGTCAAAGCCACTCAACATATGTGTGCTTCTTGCACGGATCGGAACCCTTCGCCGCCTACAATCGGCCCTTTACTTGTACACTGGCGGTTCACGCGAAGTATGCGTTTCTCTTGGGGTTCACAGTGCGGGCGGTGAGACCCCCTTCTCCGTCCTATCTTGCGGGGTTTTTGATTGTTGTCCGTCTGTCATGTAGCCATGCTCTACCTCGTACCTGCCCCGCGTGGGTCTATCAAGACTGGCGGTTGAGTTTCTTGTTGCCACCTGTGCCCTCGGTCACTCGATGTCAGGCATGCCCCGTGCATGAAATAGCCTCTCTCAAGTGTGCATGCGGCCGAAGTTCAAGAGTGTGCCGCCAGCTTCACGAGTGTGCGCTGTGTTCGTTGGCGAAAAGAAGGGATATTTTTGAACTCCGGTTCTAGCTTATGCTTCCACACGCTAAAAGGCATATATTCTCGACTCGATGAGACCAGACCCCCCCACCACCTCAGCGATGGATGCTGTTAAAGAAAACCGCCGGCGGAATAGCAGGCAGGAGAAACACGCATGTCCAAGGCCTGAGGCAAAAACTGTTCGAACTATTGTCTGTGTCGGTACCCTTCCGCCACAGGTACTATCCCGACAGTGCTAGGCACGCTCGATGCTTTGGAACATCTCGACCTCTCGCATAACCAACTGTCTGGTGAGTTCCGAAATCACCACTTGCATATCCCAACAGTTGCAAACTAATGGAAAATTGCCAACGTCGTTGTTGCTGAGTTCCGCCGCTTGTCCGGTGTACTTCCGTGGTAGCATGTTGAGAGTGTATCAATGAATTCGCCGCAGTGATCAAGGCATGCTTCGTTCAAGCCGCAGGCACGTGCCTTGGAGCATGTTGGCAGCGGGACATGGGTCCTAGAGGTCAAGACCTGGGTGAAATGGTGACACCCACGCGCTGCTCGATGTTCCGTGAACCACTCGGGGTTCAGGACCCGAGTGCTGTGCTAAAAATCGACCGTGGTCCCTTCGCTTCCTAAGAGCGTTGCTAAGATTCGTTTCGTTACATGGTGACATTCATTCCGCTGTGTTGTGGGAAATCTCAGCATGCTCAAGACCCTTATTGCTCAACGTCAACCAGCTTGAAGGTGACGTTGACTACGACGGAGTTTAGTTGGTCACGCAACCCTCCCTTCTTCTTGCAGCACCCGCTCTGCCTGTAGCAGCGGGCGGGATACACTTTCTTGAAGAAGACGCTTGTCTCCAAACCATGCCATCGGGGCTCAAGTGGTTAGTCCTCGACGTAGATAGCGCATAGCGCCCACGGTCGCCTAGGGGTGGTGGTACACACCGTGCCTTTGTTTCGCGAGCAGGTCAAGGGCGTGTAATTTCGCCGTTCGTTCGCCAGGGGAATCGAGTTTCACAAACCAGGCGTGGGCTTTGGGCGTCCATGGAACGCCTCGCGCGTACTGCAATGGTATTACACACCTGCCCTGCATGTGGGAGAGGTCGAGTCATCCGAGCAAGCTGACGGCGGATCTCTCCGCGAACCGTACCTGAGAAAAAAACGATTGTCTTCTGCCCACCCCCGCCACGTTGAGATTTGCCCACTCCCCCTTTACGCCTGTCCCACAGGGTCTATCCCGTGCACCTTGGCCAACCTAGGAGAACTTCAAGTTCTCATTCTAGAGGCGAACCAGCTCAGCGGTGAGTGCAGAATGAGTTAGATACGTATGTGATTTTTTAGGGGCATCTTAGAACAGGACGATACCACGAATCAAGGCTGGCATTGGTCACGCTCCCGGTCATAAGCTATACTGAAAACCGTTGGATAGTCGAATCGTAGGGTGCTAATCCCGGCGTGACGTTCTTCGCAACACGATGTATCTTGAATACCTGGCACGCAAGAAGGCCGCCTTGAGTGTTGACAAGGGAAAGATAAATTTGCGCAACCCGTGTCAACAAAATGAACTCTAAGGCATGGACTCCGGGGGAATCTTTCTGTTGGACACCGGATTAGAATGACCGCAAGACCGTGGGGTATTGAGAAACCTGCGAGCGACGATTGACCACGAAACGCGCCAATTCGGATTTGCACCTCCGTGACATGTCGGCAATAGCCGATGCACCCATTCTCCGCCGCCACCGAATCCCAAGCAGGGGTTGTGTCCCCGGAGCTAGGCGATATACGCGCTCTAAGATACCTCGAACTCGGCGGGAACTATCTGAGCGGTGAGTTTGACTGTAGTTACTTTGATCCGCTTTGCGCACTGGACGGGCAAGGTCCCCGCAGGTCGGCTTGTGCTGCCAAATTGTAGAATGCACTCAGAAGCCCAAGGCGGTCCTCGGCTTTCAACGCGGCTCATTCCCCGTTCCAGTGTATTTCAGGGCGTAATCCTTAGGCCGCTCCCGGACAAAGAGGGGAAGAGACCCCAAGCACGCAAAAGCAAAGACAGACGGTTGCCTCTACTCTGTGATACAATGCAGATATAATCTCATGCTCTATTAGGAAGCACGTTGGCGGTTACATAGAGGCGGCCACCAGGTGCCGAGTTGGAGTGAGTAGCGCAAATTGTCCACTCACTTCCACTACTAGCATCTTGCTCATGATATCCGGGGTGCTTATTTCACCCCCACCTGTTGTTTTTTGTGTCAACCAGGAGGAGGGCCGAAGTTGGGCGAGAGCATTTCTTCGTGGAGGTTAAGACTAAGGAAGCAGCAGCAGGTCGTCACTCCTACCCCCCAACCAGAGGTACAGTTTGGAGGCCACATATTCTCCTACCCAACCGCACAACAGCTACGCCTTGAAGAAACGGGACAATATATTGTGCACGGTGCTATGAGCAGGGATATTGAAAGCGCCGTGTGCTACACACAGTACTTGCATCGTTGAACGTGAGGGCATCGACTCCATTGGTAGAGGGAGTTAGTCGTCGTCGCAGGGGGCGGACGCGGGCGTAGTGACCGCGTTCCTCCGGGTTCGAGCCTCGCCTCTCTGCGCCTGGCACGAAAACACCTCCATAGAAAGTGGGCATTCCAGTCCGCCGGCACGCTTGTCAGGGCAGCCGCGATACCCGCTCTCGTTCGAGGGAAGGCAAGACATAGGAAGGGGGGACTGGACCCCCTCCTGCGGTCCCTGTCTGAGGTATTTTTATCCCGAGAAGGGTACAGCAATCCCTTCGCTCGCGACTTACGAAGTCGATTATGGTTTACTAACAACGAGCTTTGCAGCGCGTGGCTTTTATCATAGACCAGGATTTACTATGTGAGAAAAAACTCATTCTGCCGGGACTCGAACCCATGACCTGGCCGTTAGCAGGCTGCGAGGTTACCCACTAGACCACCGGGGCAACCGGTACACTGTTTTGAGGTGAAAACAAGATGTTTTTGGAAGAGGACGTGCGTCCAGCCGAGGCCGGAGCCAGACCGCGGTGCGACAGAATGAGGCACTCTGAGCAAGATGGCGATTTGGCGGGGTTGCACTCTCCCGAGTGGACGAGAGACAAAATAGCAGCCCGCGAGGGTTTCTGATTGGCCACCGTTGCTTTCCGGGACGTGTTCCCGAGCATGACGACACGGTGGTGCAAGGCAGCGAACGTCCAGGCTTTTGAATGTCCCGTTCCCCGCGCGCGCTCCCCTCAGGTTCCCCCGCCGATGGCTTCACCCGACCGTGACGCACTGGTTGCTCTTTTTCATGCCACGGGCGGGGATAACTGGACGCGCAAGAGCAACTGGTGCACGGCTGCTAGGCTGGGGACATGGGAGGGAGTCCAAGTCAACCAACAGGGCCGCGTTGTAGAGCTAGATCTGTCGGACAACAACCTCCGAGGTATTCCTTTTGGGCTACGTACCTCCCTGAGACTTGCTGCCTGCCATACGATTATGTTACCTTGCTCTAAGTACGATTCACAGGAAGTTGGGGCTTTGAAGCTGCCGTAAGGGTGACAAGACAACTTTGGTATCGCTCCTTGCGTAGGCCTTATCATGGTCTTGCTTGATAACCTAGATGTTCCCGGCCGAGCACCGATTCTGCACGGGTCCATCAGACTGGGTGGTTGATTCCCTGTCCGAGCTAGCCTGTAGTCTATGGTACAATCTCCCTACAGGCGAAGTGTCTGATGGAGACAACGCCGGACATCACTGCTGTGTGTGGGCGCAGGAATTCCCCTAGAGACTCGTCTGTGTCGACTCTAGAGTGTCGTGGCCACCAATGGGTGCGTAGGATAGACTCGCGCGGTAAACGTGGCGTATTTAAGTTCTTCCAAGAGGAGGGAACAGTCGCCGCTCATGTATACATACCCCTAACTGGCCAGCCTCTTGCTCTAGAGGTGTTGGTCATCCTCTGCTCCCAGCTCTTGCGGGATTGATCTTTGTACTACTGTATTGCCAGTATTTGATGGTTGCCTTCATGCCCAAGCCTAAGCGATCACCCAATTTCGGATATGCTCCTGTCTCTGGGTTGGCTCTCGCTGCAGGTGCTATCCCTGGTGAGCTTGGGAAGCTTGGGGCCCTTCGAAACCTCTCGCTGGCTTGGAATAAACTTAGCGGTAAGTTCTTGAATCCGCGATTCGGTCCGTTGGCGTCACGATCATCATGCTGCGACCCGCCCACGCGTGAGTTGGTGCATCCTGCCCGCGGAGAAACCTGTCCCGTTCAAATTCATTCTCTGGCGGAACCTGTGCGCGATTTTCGATCCGTTCGTTCCAAGGTGTGGAGTTGTTACGGCCGTCCAGGAAGATTCGCCAGCACAACGATCGTCGAGCATATCGAGCGTCCAAAAGTGTGAAGGAAGCTTCCGTTGTGTCACCAAAAGTGCACATTTGTAGAGCGTTGTGTCCCGGCCGTGCACGCGAGTGAGGGCATGACTTGTCCTTGTTTCCGCCGAGCTAACTTGATGTTTTGCGTGTGTTCAGGTCCCATCCCTCCTGACCTGGGAAACCTTACCTCCCTGGAAATGCTGTCATTTTGGAAAAACGAGCTAAGCGGTGAGTTCGAATCAAACTGGCTTTTGTGCACCGGTTTTCTGGATGCTGTAGACCAGCTAGGTAAAGTTTTTTCGCCCTTCCTCGTGGCCATGCACATCCACAAGACTTCGTCAGCAGGAGATTTTTGTCAACCCTGTGTCGGAGGAGACCCCTGCCCACCAGCCAGGCTATTCGCCGTGCTGCAGCCGTCACCAGTTCCTGAAAGGGCACCAAGTTGTCTGAGCTCAGCGGGGACAAACATAATTTCGGCCAAGTTTCATGTCCTGCTGCACCCACCAAGAGTTGCTGCAAACTTTTCTGTGCGACCTTTTCCGTTTGCTCGCATTGCGCGCAGGAGCAATACCAAAGGAGCTTAAGCGTCTTACAGCGCTCAATGTTCTGTTCCTCAACGACAACCGTCTGACAGGTGAATGTGAAACGTTGGTACTCCAAGAAATATGGCCGTGCCTTCCACTCACGGCCTGCGCGGGACAATTGTTGTGGGAATACACGCCGACCAACGCCCTGCTTCACGGAATATATTGACCTCTCCAATGACTCCCAGTCTACATGAATCGCGTAAGAACACCAAACTGCTCCATCTCGGAGGTAGTTGGGGCCTGCGGCGAAGGACTACCGAGTCCTGCGTGTAAAATACAATGGGAATCGCGTTGATGTATCCGTCCTGCCCACGTGTATGTTGTTACAATATGCTGAGCTTCTATTTGCGCGTCATCCTTCCCGTGACACTCACAAATATGCCTTGCAAAGCGCGCGACAATGAACGCCCCGTTTCGTTCTTGTTATTTTCCTTTGCAGGATGCATCCCTGAGGATCTAGCGGCCCTGACCAAGCTGGAACAACTTGTTCTGTACAGCAACCGGCTTTCCGGTGAGGAACGTGTCATAGAGACCAGCATGATCGCTGTACATGCAACAATAATGAATGCCTTCGCGCGTGGGTTGGACGACATGGTCTAGAAACGTTTACAAATACTTTCATTTCATTTTAATGTTTTGCCGCGTTTCCACTTCTACAGGATCGGTTCCCCAAGCGGTGAAAGGTCTCAGCCAGCTGGAGCTGCTTCGGGTCTCCAACAACCTGCTTGCGGGTAGGGGGGGTCAACTCGTAGTTTGTCGCCCTCGTTGTGTTTGTGGAAAACCGTCGATCTTTTGTCGTGCGTATCAGTTGGCGGGACAAGATCCGCGAAAATTGTTAAGTTGACGTGCCGGGAAGATTACGTGGGAAACACAGAGAGCAACGTTTCTCGCCTTGGCAAAAGCTCACTGGTCGGCTCCGTTTCGCGTTTGCGCAGCACGGCTTGAGAGCCCCATCCAAGGGGGGGGGCAGTTGGCAGGACAGACTAAACATACACCAGCAAGACCCTCGCTAGCAGAATTACGTCGAAACCAAGCTGACGGCAAGGTGTTCGTGACCCAACACTACATGTTTTGGGATTGAAGTTTTATTCCTTTTGTTCTCATGGTGATGTAGCCTTGGCAGAAACGGCGCAGCGTAAGCTCGCTCGTTTGGCATCGTCAGAGATGAGACGCACGACGCATGCGCGGTAGTCCGCACGACTGGAACCTGGCTCCAGACGAAACCAACGTGTTGGTTCCGTTCTTGCTTGGCGCGTGTCAGAAGAATCGGCGGAGACAGAGAGTCTAGACCGGTCCGAAGCCAAGCGTGACGGGCCACGCGTGGAGTCTCCGGTGTCAGAAGTCACATTGGTGAGATTCGGAAACCGCCCTTGTCCGGCCGTCTCGAACACATGCGCCGACCGAAACCATTTGAACGAAATACCACACGCCGACGATTGTCTGTATACCCACTGTTTCGCGCGCTTCGTCAGTCTCGAACGACAACATTGGTATTCGGTCGTGATACCAACGGGCACATATCGTGCTCTCCGTTTTACCGCGCGTCCTGCCGTTTTTCACGCCGGTTGTTCGACGCCCTTGCACACCTGGTAGGTTACGTGTGCGGCTTCGACCGATCGCGACGCGCTGGTTGCGCTGTTCATTTCCACGAATGGGGCTAACTGGACATGCAACGACAACTGGGACACAGATGCTGAGCTAGGGACATGGCATGGGGTCGATGTCAACGAAAGGGGCCGCGTTGTCAAGCTGCAATTGGGTTTACACAACCTTCGAGGTACTGTGGCCCACCCCATAATGGGATACTTGTTGCTCTCGCACGTTCTGCTGGCATATCTTGGCTGATTCGTCGACCCAAAGTCGAAATGTCACTGAATGTGCGTTTTTTTGCAGGGATCCACGAAGTAGATTTCTGCGCCCCCGTGTGTTGCACGCCGCCTTCTCTTGGACCTGTCCGGAATACGTGTTTGAAACCTGTATGTATGTACTATCAACACGCTGTAAATATGATACCGCCCCCTCATTTATTTTTTTTGCCTGCTATCAAGCTCCTTCGGCTTGACCCCATCTATTTAGCACGTGCTTTGAGCCCCGTCCGCGAAGTTTCGGCTCTTGTTAGACATGCCGCCCGAGCTTCTAGAAAATACGTCCCGCCAACGCGTTTGGTGGAACTTATCTACGAATGTTCCTTCCAGCGCTCCAGCGCTCCGCGCGACCGAAACAAGCACCAAATTCTTGCAATCGTGATGGTGGCGGTTTGGGCCGGAATACACTCACTTGAACCTGTCAGTTCGGGACCGATGTCGGTGATAGCTCACATCGGACGCCCTCTCAACTACTTCGCCTCGTTTGCCCATGTGTTTCTTGCGCAGGACCCATCCCGGAAGCACTGGTGGCCCTCGACGAGCTCGAGGTACTGCAACTCGACTGCAACATGCTTACGGGTAAGAGGCGTGGTCCATGCCCCCCCCCCCCCCCCCCCCCCCCCCCCCCCCCCCCCCCCCCCCCCCCCCCCCCCCCCCCCCCCCCGCCGAGTGCTTCATGCCTGCAATCAGGAAACTTTCACTGGTAGCTGGTGTAGAACTGATCTCTTGAGAAATTTACCGCTCTGGCTGCGTGTGCAGGCTTCATCCCCAAGGCGGTGGGGGTCCTCACCAAGCTGGAGAAGCTTATGCTGAATAACAATCAGCTGAGTGGTGAGCCCTGCACTTCCTGTGTTACATTTGAGAGAGCTTTCCGCGTTCCGTTCGTTTTCTATGGCTTCTGCTTCATCTAGTCGTGATAATGGCACCGGCCGGACATGTTGAACAATACCTGGCTGAGTCTCGCCAACAGCTTCGTTCTTGCGAGTCGATGATTCCGTCGCGCCGAGGTCGCCGATTGGCTGGGTGTGTCCCCGAGGTCGGGACTGTGCGGAGCGCCCAATCCGCTCAGCCCCAGTGCATGGGGCTCCTTTTCGGTAACAATATCGCCTTCAGGTCAACGTGTAACTTGCCAACTTTTCACCGAGAGTTCGACCTCTGGAATGTCTGTTTCGCCAACGTGCAAGTCAACAACTGGTGTAGGATGACGAAGTTGCCCTGTGTGGCAGAAATCCTCATGTTTGACCCGATCGTGCAAAGGAGAGGCTGAGCTCTTTCGGCTTGCTTGAAGATCGAACTTGTGGGGGGAAATGGACGTGCGTGCAATCAGCAGTGAAGGTTTGCCAACGCTTGGGTAGAGCGGAGTGGATGCTCTGGAAAGGCGAGGGACATGTCACTCGTTGAATCCGTGTAGCACTTGCTGAACTCGGTCTGCTCGACCGCTCCAGGTGCTATTCCCCCCGAGCTTGGGCAGCTTGGGGCGCTGGAGTACCTCATGTTGATGGGTAACAACCTGAGTGGTGAGTTTGCTCGCGAGAACTCGTGGTTCGTGGTTGAGTTTTCGTTTTTCTCTCGTCGTGTAAGGGAAAGTGTTCTACAAGCTAGACACGGTGGAACCGTGTAACAATAGACAACTCACGGTTCAGCTACATACTAATAGTCCCTACCGAAGCGCCAACGCTTTGGGTGAGGTAGACGAAAACGCGTCCTGTACGTCGTAGTCTAAGGTTTCTATCTAGTGTGTACCACGTCCATGCAACATGTCCGCCCGCGAGTAGGCGGGACGAGTGGTGTAGAAGGTGATTGCCGTGTCAATCGCCCGTTTCACAAATTCGCTGCTGTGTTGACTGTGCAGGACCCATCCCGGAGGCGCTGGGAGATCTCAGCGAGCTGAAAATGCTTGGGCTCAACAATAACCGGCTCAAAGGTGAGATCATATTTTTTTTTCGAGAGAGAGATTTAGGGATTATTATAAAGGGACGAGTGAACAAGAACCGAAGCAGGGTAGGTGCTTCCTGCGGTGTCACCGAAAGCAGACGTCCTGTGTTGCGCACGCGGGATGCTTTTCGAAAGAAGCCACTCCCCACTTTTCGCCACTTATTCATAGTGCCGCTGCATTCGCCGTTCCTCATTCTAAGTTCATTTTGCCGCCGTGCTGCTTTGTTTTTTCAGGACCCACCCCCAAGACGCTGGGAAAGCTCAGCAAGCTGGAGGAGCTTGGGCTTAGTAACAATATGCTTGACGGTGAGGAGAGGGTTCGTATTTTTTGCTCCTGCTACTGCTCACGGAACCAATTTTCGCATCTAGGTTTAAATGAGCCGCGAAGCGGCGACAGCCGTTTCCTTTTTTCAATCCATCCAAGGAGGGAAAAAAAGGCTCTACAAATATGTTGGCCTGTTCCAACGCGATGCAGCGGCCTGACCTTAGTTTCCGGGCGACCGAAAGTACCCTCCGTTTCGACCTAAACAAGACCTAAGAGCACCGATTGATGATCTATTGGCTTCTGGGAAGGAAGAAAAATGGGCGATCTTGGTGACACCGGTTTGGTGGTACTCCGACAAGAGGTGGCCATGCTTCACAGACGCTTGTCCAGAAAAATTGCAGAGTACCTCACGCCGACCCCGGTAGTTATCGAGGTAACGGGGGAACACATTGCGGAGATCCCATTCACAAACTGAACCAGCTTGGAGAACAAAGGGGACGCTAGTCTAAGTCTCGCGCATCCATAGAAACACACCCACCCACAGTATCCCCAATCCCTTCCATATTCATGGCAGTAACAGCAGACACCTGGTGCCCAGTCACCTGGTGCCCAGTCTATGACTACACAATAAGGAGTGTTGACGTACAACATCTCACGACAATGGGTGAAAATATGTGGGAGTCGTGAGATTCATTGCCATAAGCAGCAGCAGCGGCTGCCGCCGTTGGTGTAGCGCTTGGCATTTGACACTCCAGCGGGGAGCAAGTGCGCCTAGTCTTGAAGACCCGCTCGTAAGATCGGGGCTTGAAACGAAGTCGAGTGCGGCACGAAAATGGATTAAGGCGTCTGCCCTGATAGCGTGTTGATTTTTTTTCTGCCGACCGTTGTGTTGCTCTCTACGAGAGAACACCGGGTAGGAAAGACATATTTTCGAGACCACCCCACCTATCCTACTGCTATCGTGATTCAAGGCTCGATGCCTCTGGATCATGTACAGAGTCTTGCCTCGCCGACCACAGTCGTCGCGGCAGTGCACCAGCGGGACCACCGGCCTCAGAGCTGGGGGACTCATCCAATGTCCAATATTGATCCTAGGTCAAGAGCAATACTGCATCAGAAATTCCGGAGTATGGTTAGGGCTGGCTCTGTTTGAACGGTGCTCCTGGCCACTTTCCACACCGCACTGTCCGACGGCTCTATCTCGTGTGTTTGTGTCTGCTACCATCGTTGATGATGCTGGCGGCAGTGCCGTTACGTGCCGATCGTCGGCGGCTGGTGTATGTAGCAGGGTAAGCGTGTCAGGACATTTTGCGAGTTCCTCCGCCTTTGGTGTGTAGCACTTGACATTCCGGCGGGGAGCGGATGCACCACACGTTTCATGTTTGAAGATCCGCTAGAATGTTCCGGACACGTATGTACGAATCGCGGAAGTCTCCACCGGTGTGTGGTTGCTACCTTGAAGCAGTGTGTCTCGCACAGTATCGCAGAAAGCTACTGCAAGGTGTTGCGTCGCACTCAGCTGCTCTACTCTGCCCTACGAGTAAATTTCGGATGTTTGCTCGTTCACTTGTTGTGCAGGATGCATCCCCGAGGAGCTAGCAGCCTTGACCAATCTGCGATGGCTCCAGCTTCAGAACAATAAGCTCACAGGTGAGCGGGTACTCCACAGGGATTTGTTCACTTCCTTTTGTGGCTCTAGGAGGCGACCCGCTGGCGTTACATGTGAAGCCTAGCTCCTCGATTTTGTTTCGAATTGCCGCCATGTATGTTTTCGTCTCTGCGGCCGATGGAGCTAGATTCTACTCGGACGACACGGCACAACTCCCGTGGCACCAAACCCCTGCGGTTTCCTAAGATGTCCCTGCACCTAAAGCACAAACCCCTTCCTTGTAGCACCGGCCGGGGCGAAACTGCTATAGAAACCTTGGGCAACTGAGCCACCCAACGCAATGCCACCAGCAACACCCCGTCCACCCCAAAACCCCATTCTTGAGGCCATCGTATATATTTCCGCGAGATGCAGCTCCCAGGCACAGGCAATACCCAGTGGGGCCTCCGCTGTGAGACAGAAGACCACCCTTGTCAAAACAATCTCCAATCCCCCTCCTTCGAAAGAAAAGCGGCGGGGGTGGACAGGACTAGAACTACGATATGTGTGTAGTACTAACAATGGTCCAAGCGTCGGACGTAAGTAGCCAGCAATACCTCCTGCCCTCAAACGCGGGCTTCTTGTCCCCATCACCTTGCAGATGGATCCAAATGACATGCGCCAATGAAACTCTAACAGCAGGAGTAGCCAGGCGGCAGATGAGAGACAATGAGGGCATTTGTCTGAGACCCCAATACCCAACGGAACAATTCAAACCAACACGCACTTGGGGCAGCCAAATTCACAAGTGACGGCAGATGGAAATAAAAGCAGGGTGCATGGGTGACGCTTCCAGACCTCCACAGCTCGCACAGCAGACGTGTTTTTTCACTCAAGAGCCCAGCAAACCTGAACTGTTTGAACAGAAAATGTAGTATACAGTCTTTTGTGTCTCAATTCTTCTGTTTCACAATATACGTGAGTTTATTCAGTTCATCATAGCAAGCCTTTTTTCTCGCGTCGTTTGTTGACCTTCGATTGCTTGTGGTCGTGCCGGACCGTGCAGGATCCATCCCGGAGGCTCTGAGATTTCTAAGCAAGCTCAAAGAGCTTAGACTCAGCAACAATAAGCTTTCAGGTGAGGCAGGCTTGCCGTTTTGCTCCCTGCTCGTCGGTGTGATCACAACCCACGTGTGGGTTGAAGATTTGCCAAGGGAGTCTCAAGAGAAGTCGCCTTTCTCGTACTCGTGCTTCACGCTTTCGCTACGAAGCGTCGCCAGCTTCGTGGGTGATGCAAGGTCCCCGACTTCTTTGTGCAGGCTGCGCCAAGCCTTGAGTATGCGACGACCGCTGGGCTTCTAGAATGTCCGTTCCACTCTTTCCTTGGCAGGGTTTTTCGTTTATGTAAGCATGTTGGATAAAGTATGCAATCGAGGAAATTGGGTCAGGGACCGGGTCTTCGTGCCCTCTCCCTGTTCTATTTCCTCATAAAATTCATTTCTCGCGAAGGCGGCCCCTCTTGTATCTTGGCGGGACGTTTGTAGCTTGAGGCCGGCGCGGCGAAACCGACGCTGTCCCAACGCTTTGGCTTACACAACCTACACAACCCGCATAGGAACCGTGCCGGAGGGGCTCGGGGGCCTAACAGGTCTGAGAGGGCTACTGCTCAACGACAACAACCTGGAAGGTGCGCGTTGTGTAACGTTTGACTTTTTTCGAGGTTCAGTGATGAGATTCCCAGTAGGCTGCTGAATCGCTTAATGGGCAAGGCCGAGTACTCTTGGCAAGTCGAAGAAACTATGAGGAAACACACGCCCCCGGCCTCCTGGTCGATACCCTCGTGATTTGCCCATTAAGCGTACAAAGAAACACGCACACACATGGACCTGCATACCGTCCCTCTCAGCTTGGCGAGCCTGCAGAGTTCGTAGATTTTTGACAAATGTTGATCTCACCACTAGAGGATGTTTCGTTGTCACCAGACACACCCCTGGTACTTAATGTGTGGAACTGGCAAAGACACACCATACAATTTTCCCTTTTCATGCCCTGTGAATTTACCTCGCGTTTCGATCTGTTGCTGCTGCCGGCTGCTGGTGCAGGAGTCATCCCTGAGGCGCTGGGAGCTCTGAGCGAGTTGAAGAGGCTTGACCTCAGCAACAACAGCAGTATCACGGGTGAGTGGTTGTGTTGCCCTGTTGATCATGTGCCTACTCGGCGCGACACATGGAAGATGCGCGTTCAATAGAGTCCACGCTGATTAACTTAACTTATGCACCGTTTGTTTTACGTTGAACGCGAATTCGAGTGACCAAACACACGAAAAGACACGGCAACTCACGGCGCGTGTCTGTGGATTCCATGTTTGATTGGCTCTGTCCCATGACCCCAGCATTTGCGAAGTGTTTATAAACGAAGACGAACCGATGGGTGTCCAAGCGGTTTTGTCCGCGGGAAAACGCCGGACGACTTTGTGAGCGAGCTACCATGGTGATTTTCTCGGCCGAGGAATTCGAAGCGGAAACGAACATGACGGCGTATATTGCTGGTCGAGGTTGGGCACTGGTCTCATTATCGGCCTTCTAGAGGAATCGTCTGCGAGAAATGTCGCTCAAACGGCGGAGATCCGAACAGCTACTGTCCATTCAAAAGCGGAGACGAGTCAATACCCATGAGTACAATACACGGCGTGATTGATGTGGGAAAGCTCGAGGTAGCTAGGTGTATCGTTGATGTGCGCGACCGTACACTGCTCCAACGGCCGGAGCCTGGAATAACGAGAAAGCTGGAACATTATCTCTGTGCTTGCCTTTCATTTTGTGTTGACCCAGGCGGGTCTGAACATGGGAATCTTGACTCATGGAGGGCAAGAATACAGCCGCAGCAGCAGCGGGAGGCTGAGCACGACGAGCCAAAAGAGGAAGCCGATGTTGCGCAGCACAGCCCCCGATCACAAGACGAGGAGGAGACGGTGGAAACAGATATCGTCCACCCTGGACCCTCTTCCCCAGCGGAGGAGGAGAGAGACCCGGGTGACTCGTTTAGGGAGCAAGTCGCCTCCTTTGCGGGCTTGGCTGCGCTTACTAAAGGGGATCGCGAGGCTCTGGACGAGATTAAACAGCTCATCAGAGTACCACCCATCAGGGCACCATACGCTGATGGCGTTTCTCCGGCCCCAGAACCTATCGACGAAGCAAACCTCCGGGATCTCAACAGGCTGGCGGAAATGGCCACGACTCTGGGCGAGATTGCTGTGAGTGTCCCGGTGTGGACAACGTTTATTTCGACACACAGCAACAGTATGCAAGGGCTTAGCTGACACGATCTAGCTGATTCCGCGTGATGCGCATTGAGTATGCCGCACCACAGCAATCACGGCCATTCCTTGCAGAGAGTCTGTGTCCCGGCCACTATCAAACATGCGTTGAACGATCGTGCCCTGTGCGCGCGCTCTTCTTGAAAAACATCTCCGTTCGTCATGGTCGGGTGAGCAGTCCAGCCACATGGAGGATCAGTGGATGCAAGGGCGGGAGCAGGGTTTGTCGCAGGCGCGCAAGGCGTACTTCAACGCCGTCCGGGATGGCGTATGCAACGCGTTCCTTGCTTCCAGCGTCGTCGGCAGCAACTTGGTTGCCACGAGCAAGACCGGTGGGATAGGCACGGTAAGCGCTGCTGTGGGTTTAGCCCTGATTTGTCGTGGCATGTTTTTCGTATGTTTGTTGTATGAGATGCATCCGGCGCGTGCACCCCAGTCTTAGCCCGATGTGCTCTTCTTGTTTTGCAGGCAGGAAAGGCCTTGGCACTGCTGTCTGCTGCGGTTCCTATGGTTGGAGGGCTGGGAGGCATCGCAGCGGGGGCTTTGAAGACGGGAGACCGCTATATCCAAACTCGGCGAGTAGCGAAGGTAAGCCTCTCCTCGTGCGTCTACGGCAGGTCGACGTCATAACATAGTTAGGTTGCGGCCGCCTCTCTTGCCCCCGACCTGAGATAACCTTGACAGAATTTTCCTTGACAGAATTGGACGCCGACCAACCACTTTGCTGCTTTGACAGATCGCCGACATCGCAAGGGACGCGGTTGAGTGCTGTTCGCTGGCGAGGAGATTAGCGTTGCGACTCGCCGAAGGCCTTGCGATCGGCGCCTCCATAGCCGACACGGTGGTGGGCACGATCGGCGGGGCTGGTGAGGATGACGTTATAAAGTCCCTGGATGTTATGGGATGAACATGGCCGTGGCGGAAAGAGGGCGGCATACTGCTGTAGACGGCCATACACCCATGGGCACGTGATTTGAGTCGCCTTGTTTGCGTCTCGAGGAAAACATTTTCATTAACGCGCACATCAACGTGTTCTCCGAACGCCAAAGTACGTCGAATGTCTTCGGCGAACAGATGGGTGTGCAGGGTGGTCATCTTCTCGTTCGTACTGCCGTTTTTCCTACCGTAGCTGAGCAAGCAGATACTGAATACGTGAGCAGTTATTCCTCGGGTGTTTGGGATGTTGGCGTTTTGATGAACACTAGAAAAAACATGGACTTCATCCCGAAAGATGGGCACCGTCCGGCCCAGAGGCGACTCTCGCCACCTTCATAATTATTTTTTCCGATCGCGAAGCTCCACTCCAAGGATGATTTCTCCTGCACGGGCGTTGCACAATGATAATTTCTTACGTTCAGGAGGGGGCGGATGGAGGCAGGGCGAGTATGCCTTGCCAGACGGCGCGGGGGAAAAAGACGTCATGGAATGGTTTGCCGACGAGGTGTCAAACTTCGAGCCGCAACACCGCCACGCGACGAGGATGACTCCTGAAGAACAGGTATCGAGACAGTTCGTCAACCCTCGGTGTTCATGTGGCTCGACTTGCTAGCGAGTTGTTGAGTCAGTCCCGTGTCATCATGCTGGTCCCTTCGAGGATGACCGAACCGGACGCACGCTTTTGCCGGCGACGTTACCGTTGCCACGCTTTCGTTATGGCCCCGGTCTCTCCAGGCTGGGAGCCGGCTGGGGAAGAAGCACCTCCAAACGCTGCTTCTGGCGGTGGGGACTGGTTGCCTCGAGGGCGCGAACAACATCGAAGAAAAGGTAAGCGTTTGTCTGTGGGAGAACAGTCCTGTGCACCTTGGATTGTTTGTTTTGTTTTTGGTGCCCGACGCTATCTTCGTGGCCGCCATGTTTGTGTTCGCCGTTGAGGAGCATCCTGGGCGGAGGTTTTGTTCTCGGCCTGTGGCCTGCACTCCTTGTAGGTAGCGGCCTTGTCGGAACCCCAGCTCGGAGACCACTTGATGTTCCTCGTGGGTCCTGTGCGGATGGCGGCTCGACTACTTGTGCTTCCTTGTTGTGCTTGAGATGAGCAACTCCCGATTCCGAAGCGCATACGTTAAGGGCGAAACCTGGAACCTTGCTCTTGTTCTGGTGATATCTTGAGGAGCGCTTGAATAGGAATGCAGTACAACTGACCTAACCCGTGGCCGATTTCTAGGTTGAGCTTTTAGTCCGGACCGTCTTCCCTGAGGACGAGGGAAACGCCGTTTCGACGCCTCGAGCCCCGAACGTTCTCTTGGAGCAAGTTCCGAGCCCCATCGACAGCGTGTTGAAGCCGACGGATTCGCCAGCAAGTCCCCTCGTCGGTCGCGACAGTCCAGAAATTGACGCCAGCACCATTGCAGCGTTGATGGAGGAAATGCGATCCTTGTGGGTCTCTCTGAAAGATTGGAATGCGAAGCACTCCGACCTGGAAAACGAGGTAAGCGATTCGTGGCTGGCGTAACCGCAGAAAGCATTGTTTCGAGGTGACCCACACAGCGGTCCATTCGTCGCTTTGGGAGACTGGCCTGCCTCACGGCTCTAACGTTGATACTTGTACCACGCATGTTGTGGCGTTTGGTTTCACAGGTGAGCAAAATAATGGAGAAGGTGAAGAGCCTGCCGGACTCTGATGGAGTGTTGTCCATCGGTACGTACCGCTGGCGATACGTCTGCACCACTGTTTTGCCCCTGGCGCGTAGTACTTCACCCGTTCTTGGTAGCAGCGGAATGCTTCGTATGTGCGGTGTGTATGCGTACGAATGTTTTTTTCCGGAGACCCAGACTCAAGTGCACGATGCTTGCTGCAGACTCCCGCGTCGGCAAACGATTCTTCTTTTATGGTGCTGAGGCAACCACAGTGTGGTTCAGAGTTAAAACTCTGGTTCTGCAGCCTACTAAACAGAATGCTGTTTTAGACCCACCATTTTGTTCCCTGCACTTTGTCCCTCTCTATTTTATTCCACGGCAATCGGTACAGGTGAAGGGCAAGCTCTCAAACAGAGGGTGTATGACAAGACACCGGAAAAGTTCCTCGAGGCGTCTGAACACGAAGGTGAGCGCGCGGCGTCGTAGGCCCCGGTAAGGGATTGGTGTTGACATGTGCATCTGCATCGTTCCGTGTCGGCAGCGGTTGATGCAGTTCCGTTTCGTTTGTATGTTACGTCGCGTTCGTCCCGGTGAGGCTGATTTGTTTCGTTTATTTGATTCCTCGTCCTGTTCCCCTCGTCTCCCGAAGTTGTAGGAGCTGCGACAGCAGTACGTAAAGCGTCGAAGACATTCCGCTTCCAAAAGCCTTCTCAACTCTTGTGAAGTTCTCCGCACAACCCTCTAGCCCTGCGCCATTTGCAGTTGCGCGATATTCCCAGGACGCGGGCCATGGTGTGTGTTCTCTGTCTCATGCGGAAAACGTCACTCACGTCAGAAGAAACTGATTTGTTAAGTGTTTGCGTACCTGTTGCGTTCAACGATCCTCTGGTCTTCCGTGTGGGGGCGCGCTTGTGCTAGCGGTGGCCCTGGACCAGCCCGTACTTGCGCACGTGTGGAGAGAGTCCATGGTCCGCCAGGCCGAAATCAATCGCGGGCATGATGACAGGATCGACCGTCTTGAAGGGAAAGTTGCCAGGAAACAAGACCAAAAACGTGGTAAGTTCGCTCGACCGCAACGTTCTTCCGTACAGTACAGAGGAACCGCGCGAGCTCCTCGCTTGAGTTTAGTGTAGCCTTTCCTCTCTCCATTCATTTTTGTCCCCTGTTCGGGAGGAGGGACTGAATTGTCGCATGTTTTGGGCAGGTGTAGATCACCCACCGAGAACTATGGTTCCTCTCTTAAGTAGCTCGTCAAACGAATCGATAGACTAATATCTCCGGTTGTACCCCGTGCGACGTGGATTTTAACCCCACTCGGTGTTATCGTGCGTTGACGGGGCCATATGAGAGTTCGTCTCTTGTGTGTATACTCTAATCGCCACCTACCCGTGCATGAAAACTCGCTCTGTAACGTGCGGTGGAAGTAAGGTTCTGTTAGCTGGCAGCTTCTAATACGTCAAAACTTCTCTTTGAGGTCCCGCCGATACGTTCACTGACTGTTGCGGCGCTTCGCAGGGATTGCATTGTCCTTCCGGCGTGGGAAAGGTTGACTGTCAAGACATGGCCACCACCATCCTGCGAATGCAGATTGATTATTGGCAATCTGGGCTACGATTTCGCGCACTAGGGATCGAAATATACCCGCCTGAGGATTTGTCTTAGTCTTCAAGGAGGCTAACCTAGCTGCAGCCTTGCCGGTTTGAGCACATGCGCTAGTGTCATGTCGCCGAGTTGGGTCTGTTCTGCGCCGTTTAGACAGCTGTAGACGCATGCCGAGGACCATGTTCGAGGAACCAACTTAATATTTTGCCATCCAGTGTCAATCGTCCCTCACGAGCGAGCAAAGATTTCGCGTTGCTTGAGTGGTGCGGCGGCATGCTTCTCTTGAAAAGACCTGGGGCACGGGTGCCTTCGCTCCGTATCTGCGAGGAGTGTCTACTTGGCAGTTGGTGAGGGAAGTGGGTTGCAGCAACTACCGCGGTCGGCGTTGGCAACTTCGCACTTTTAGTTTTTGAGTATTTGTTCGTCAATGGATGCTGCTGTAATCGTAAGTAGTCTAGACTAGACGTGATTGCACCACCCAGTCGGCGCCGACCGGTAATCCAAATATGTGGGAGGTCAAGGCCCCTGACCCGCGCATCGCCGTCAAAAAGGGCCTGAAAACACCTAGGGCCATGACCTCGGTAGCGCCTGATGAGGGGGGGGATTGGCCCCTCGGATATCACTGCAGACAGGGAGACGGTTTCGTCGAATCTAAGCATGCATAGTATAAAACGGAGTGAGGAGCTGCTTTTTTTCACCTACTTGCAGAGGGTGAGTTTGCCTGCTGCTGTCGTAGATCACCCTCCGACGGGGGACAGACGCGTTCGTTCAACCCTTGAGCATGCAAGCATGTAGACTAATACTTTTCGTCAGATGGGCTTTACCCAGTCGGTCGAACCAGCAGTGTTTTGTCTCCCGCGCTACAAGAGTTGCGGACGTAACTTCTACTCTTCTTGTCCTCGTGGTTCGTTTCGTCCGACTGGATTTTCTTTGCTGGCCTGTGGCGACCGCCAAAGACAATCGACGTTTGTTGGTGATATTGATCATTTTCGAAGGAAGGTTAAGATTTCGTGAAGTTTCAGGCACTCTTTTGTCCTCCAACCCGCGGGCACCATGCCGACGCCTCCTAGCCGCGGACGAGTGTACAGCAGTATCCTCCATCAACCGTACGTACTATGTCAACAATGTCGGTATGTGTACGGGTCTGAGTGTAAGTCTCATCTTCATAGACTGAATAGTAATGACCGCATCGAATATAGGGTTAGATAAGATACACAGGCAGCAATGCCTGAATACCAGCGCATGGCTCTGCCGAGTTCGTCATGTGTGGTACTCTATTTGTTTGCGACCGACGATGCCACCTATCCCCCGCGGTACCTCGAAGGAATTCGCGGTGCCCCCAGGTTAACTCAGCCGAGTGCTGTGTGCCAGGTGCTGCGCACGTCCACACAGCGGTACACAACGCACAGGAAATACACGCGCGGCGCAGAAGTAGCATGGTGATCTTGTCCATGTTCCGCCCTCTGCTTACAGCAAGAGGACACTTCGCGGTATCAGCATCATGCCGGAGAGCCCCGGTGGTTTGCGTCTCTGCTGCTTCGCGAGCGAAGGTAAGACTTTTCCGCCCAATTGACGGCGTCAACAACAAACAATGCCAAGCCTCTGCCGCGCCAGAACAAGTCCGTTGCCTCCTTAGCTTAAAGCAACCTGAAGACAACGGTGAGGACCATAGTGTTTGACTCGCGAGACATCTCGGTATTTCGCGCGAGTGCTCTCGGGTGTGTCATGTGGACTTCGCTGTGTATTTTGAATTCAAAACCAAGTCGAGGTTCACGACTTATACAACAAGCAGTTACACGCCGTTGCTTGTGTCCAGCGGTCCAGAGGCTTATGCATACAATCAAACACGTCGGTCAAACACCTTGGTGATTCACCTCGCGAGGCAGTAAAGCCCTACAGGCGTACTGTTGTCGTGGGAATCGCGGTTCGCCTTCACTTAACACGACGTTTGCCAACCTGTACATGCAGTATTTAGTGGACTTGCTCCATCCCCAAGTGCCCACGACTGGCACAGCTCGCCATACCTCCTGCTGCACGGTGTCCGTCGGAGGAACATAGCTAATGCAGGAGTGCTTGGCTCTGTGTATTCCTGGGTGTCGGCGAGGGGGTTGCCCCGTGAGATGTCTCTTAAGACCACCGTACGACCATGCGGTTACATTTGTGCCAAGTTCAACTCTGCGAACTGCGAACGTGTACTCTGTAGCCTTCCGTATATGACACAAGATAACACACCCCCTGGACCAATTTTCTTCAAAGCTCGATTACTCCACGAGAGGATGCATAAACGAAATGATGCATTTTCGAAAAGCCCTCGACGAGACGGTTTCAACGCCGCCGTTTTCGGCGCTGTAACTGTTCCTGCAGTCGAGAAATCGAGCTTCGAAAATCGGTCAAGGGGGTGTGCTATCTTGTGTCATATATGGTATGCCTGTGGTACCAGCATGTTTCGTGTACCGGTCGTTTTGTAGATACCCGCGAGTGTTGTTCGATACAGCCGTCTGTCCTGTGTCCTGCTTGTGGTCCGCAAAACTCGGCTACACCTCCTCGTCGCTCGCTCTCGTGTGCTGCTGGTCGGCCATTTGCTGGCTGCGGCCCGTCTCCCTCCGACGACACAGGAGGCATGTGTCAGGACGCATGAACTTTGCCGGATCTCGATGCGCCGTGCAAGTATGCAATACAACAAAGATAGCCAAGAATTGAACGTGTTTACAACACGACAAACCGATTGGCCTGCCGCACGGCCAACAGCAATACAGTCTGAACGAAAGCAGTCCCCGGCGCTTGCCCGTCAAAAGCACCCCGTTCAGAGAGACCCTCAACTCTGACCATCTGAATTACACAACGCGTCACCATTCACAGCAGTAGAAGGCAAGGAAAGTTGGTGCAGTTGATGAAGATATTGAGGGTTCGGTTTTCACGAAAGATACAAACTTGAACTCCACCCACTATAACTTGGCTTATTCCCTGTTGGTTTCCCCACTTTTGTAGGAGTAGGAAGGGTTGCCCAAACAGACAAGAGTATCTCAGCGACAGATACCTTGAATCCCTCTAGACCTTCCGTTTCCCGTTTATCACTTTCGTCGATTTCGAATTCCTTCCATACGTCACCTACAATCTGGTGTACCCCTCTTCTAGTTTGCCCACTTTGCCTCCTGCACATATTTGAGGCATGGAACAGCCAGGAGAAGACGGTAGCTGTGCTGTGGTAGGAAGCGGGTTGGAAAGGCGGGTAGTGGTATCGATAGGATAGGAAGGTTAAAGAAAACATTCAAACTAGGAGTGAACGATTGGCCATCGGTGATAGGTCCTGTGGGGATAATGCTCCGTCCTCTCGAGGACGCGTGGTCAATGGCCTGACCGCTAAGCATGCGAAACATACGGGAACGCCCCTCCCCCCCCATGCACGCGCATTTGGCCGTCCGGATGGTATCGGCCGACTGCTTGTGAAGCAACCAGCGATACCGAGTGCTCGTCGGTGGTTCGCCGCCATCGGGGTTGGACCTCAGGAAGGGCTAGACGTGGAGGGGGCCAAGGGCGCGCTTCGAAGGGCGCAGGTATGGTGATAAGGTGCTGTTGGCAATGATGGCCGCTGCTTTTTGTTCTCAAGGACCCCTGTCCTGCATCTATTCCTCGTCGCCCAAGCCCCCAGGGTGCCCGGGGGTGAAATGGTGCATAGCACGGCATGGAGGCAGCACAAGCACGCGGTACTGTAGATTGTGCGTCCTTGTTTTGGGGAGCGAGGAGCACAGGCCTACCACGATGCTTACGGCCCGCGTTTGTTAACGTCCCGTCTTGCGGCGTGCTCCATCCTTGTAGCCAGCAACCCCCTTTGGTTTCAGATTTGGTACAAAGCTCACGGAACGCCAGCCGGGAGTCTGACATGACCACCGGTTTTCTTTCTCCACCAGCTCCGGATAGCCTTCAAAAGGCGCCCCCCATGCATCTCACTACTGTCATGTCACGGCATTGACCATTGAACCAACCGCCCGTCAAGCCTCCTGTCCTTCACCAACCCAAACGCTATCTGGCTGTTTGTCCACATGCACGCAGGCGGTCTGTTTTGACGTTGACAGCACCGTCATAGCGGAAGAGGGCATCGATGTCCTCGCCGATTTCTGCGGAGCTGCGGAGGCTGTCGCTGACCTCACTAGTCGGTTAGTTCGCCCGTGTCCTTTGGGGTGCCTCTTGGATTCCAGCATGTAGTTCCTTGCGACCAGAGTTGAAAGTGCTGTCCGCAGGTTTGTGGGCGATCTCCTCCCTTTCTGTGGACTCCTTGTGGCAGGCGTTGAAAGCGCACTCTCAGCAGGTGGAACGGTATGGACGTCTTTCGATCCAGGCCGTATGACCCGGATTGATAATTCCTTGGTTGGTGAAGGGTGTTGTCACCACAGACAAAGGAAGACGCGGCAGTCAGAAGGACGACGATATACCGGGAAATGTACAGTATCTTTGAATTCAAGCGAGTGTCTGTCCTCTGCGCAACCGAGCAACGAGCCTTCTACCAAGCACTTGACGGCCATTTCTTGCCCCAACCCATCACTCCTCTGTACCACGGCTCTGGGTTTGTCGAACCGGTACTCCTATCAATCTATCAATCTGAAACAAGACATCCCACGTAGTCGGAAACCCAGATCGGAACAGCCTCTAGACCAACCCGAAGTTTCCCAAACCCCCAAGACCGGGTGAAACTCGAAGCTTTCGATGTTTTTTTGCAGGGCGATGGGCGGCTCAATGCCTTTTCAGGACGCCCTCAAGGCGAGACTGGACCTCATGACCCCGTCGCAGAAGATGGTGGACCTTTGCCTGAGGGAACACCCACCACGGCTTTCTCCCGGTGCGTGGCTGTTTTTGCAACGCTCGAATGAGTTGAGTCGCGGAGCTGCTGCTGAGCTCTCGTGTGCGTTACTGTTGTTCATCCTCACCGGATGGGCACGTGGCTGGCGGGTTCCCGCTCTGTTCGACTCGGTTGTGTTTTTCACTGGTGTTTGGAAGGGTTTGCATTCATGATCCTATCGGTAGAGCCTGTCGTAACCCCCTCCCCGCCCACCGCCGAATCTCCTTAGTTTTCTTTTTGAGCCTGTGGATGGTTCTGCGGTGTTTTCCGCGTTCCTACCACACCTTGTACATCACTCCTCCATTCCCATTCCGCCCGCTGTATTGTTTACCATGCATGGTGGTTTTGTGGTGAGCAGGAATATCTGAGCTCGTGTCGGCGTTGCACGAGAGAGGGGTGGTTGTGTACTTAGTGTCCGGAGGCTTTCGGCAGGTAAGGGGGGAGAAACAGCACGGGAGAGATGGATAGATACCCTACGTAGGCCGTCTGTGAGTGTGACACGTGACATGTGGTCGTTCTCTCTTGCTTCGTCCGACTCGCTGTGAGCTTGCGCCTCCACCTGGGGCGCTGCTGCTGCTGCTGCTGCTGCTGCTGCTCGATGCTGCTCGATGCCATTGTATTATGTTCACGCGCGCCATTGATCTCCACAACGTTTGTTGATAGTCTGTTCTTGTCTACGGTGTTTTCATGTCCTCTGGCGGGTTGTGCATGGTTCTGAGCTTCCCAGAAATTTCCCTGCTTTTCATGTCTTCCTTGTCCTGAATAGATGATCGCGCCCGTGGCGGACCAGCTTTCCATTCCGCGAGGAAACATCTTCGCGAACCGTCTCCTGTTCAGCGATGAAAGTAGCGATGGTGCCACTGCGGGGGCGTACGTGGGCTTTGACGCCGACGAGCCTACGTCCATGGATGGGGGAAAGGCCAAGGTTATCGACTTGTGAGTAAAAAAATAAAGAGAAGGGGGGTTCGATGATAGTCAAATATTTTCTTTTTCGGAATTGTTTTCGTTGTTGGAGCGCCTTGTTACTCTGACAACTGCTGTGTAGAGTTCACTAGTCGACACCTGTTCTTGGTTTTCGGCCGATCTTAAATCTTGGAAGGACCGAACGTTACGTCTGCCTTTTCAATACATGTAGGCTCTATCCACCCTTTGGGTTGTGATTTTGGCGTACTGCTTGAGGAAGTCTTGTGTCTGCAGCTTGCTTGCTTTTCAACGCCGCCCTTGACAGGTTTGTTTTCCACACCTTGCCACAGCAAACTCCCGGGACTCGATAAGCGCACCTGTTGGGAGCCATCAGTCGATCGATCGATCTAGCCAAGACCGACACGGGTTTTGGGAGCATTCTTCGGGTAAATAAGCGGCCTTTTGGCCATGTCACTTGGAACTCCCTTCATTTCGCTCGGAGGGAGG